TAGATAGATTGTATATTATATTATTGTATTTCTTTACTAAATATATAAAATCTAATTGATAATTTGGTTATTTTTTTGTATATATAAGGAAGGCAAACCGTTGTGCTCTCTTATTGTGTCAGTTTCATTATAATAATATATGTCCTGATTGTTGACTCATGCTTTATGCCCTTTTGGAGGAAAGCTAGTCATTGTTTTTAGGACATGTTTATTAGCTTTTCACACAGCTGACTGACAGTTGCTAGTCAATGGTTAGCCCCGCCCACTCAGCCTGTCAGCTGAAGGATAAAAATGGGTATCAGTTGCTATGACAACGAAGCTGCCTTGCACATGAATAGATTACTGCTTCTCTTCTTTGTGCAACATAATAAGCCTCTATTAGCCCCATTTGCTTCCTGAACTGCTATTTTATTTTTTTTCTATTTTTACAATTCAAATTTAACATTACAGCACCATAGAAAAAAAATAAATATTTTCCATCGACTATGATAACACATCAAACCTCTTGACAATATATTAACATTTGCAAGGTACTTCATGAATAATAACAGAAATTGTATAAAAATAAAGAAAAATAAGGCACAGCTTTAAGGAATACTCTAAGACTAGAAAATAAGGTTTTCAGTGCTATCAATCCTTTCATTTTTTTATTCTTATAAAGCCAGGAAGTGTTTTGTTGCAGTGCTTTTCTAGTCACTCCAAACGCAGAGTGCACTCCTCACACAAACATCTGACTCATCCCTTTTAAAGCTTTTTTCCCTGACACAGAGCAGTGCGCTGAAAATCCAGGCTCCTGAAGTCTTTTAACTTCGCTTAAAGATGGATCAAGCTGTTTTCCTAACCTGCATTACTCAGTGTAGGCCCGGTTACCAAGCCTCTGGATGTTAAGGTGGGATGGATAAAGTCATTAAATTGTAATATGTGACATTCACTAAAACACTCAATTCAAATGACATGTCCTTAATTACAATGAATCCACACACTTGTAAACATCTCATGTTTCTTGAACTTTGTCGCATTAAAATAGTAAATCTTGATGTATTAGGATTGAATGAGATGGATGTACAATAAAAGATTGTTTGACATAGTGGAAAGTTGGATTTGTTATCAGTAATTCAGACAACCATGATCCTCTACAAACACATCTGGGAACGTTTAATGATATGTTTTAGCTTTTAAAGAAATTCTTGCCCATTATTCTTTGAAAAGAAAATGTTAGGTTAGTGAGATTGGAACGAAAGCTTAAAGTTTGGCCACATTTGATCAGATAAGCCATATGAATATGCTTTCATCCAATGCACTGGTATTCAGGTTTGGCTGTAAATGTAGGGTTCTTTGTCCTGCGGATGTTCACTTGTGCTCCAGTCCAGGTCTTGCCTTGTAATTAGCTCCGTCCACCTTCCAACTAAAACTCACTATCTTGCCCAGTTGGAAAAAACAGAATAGATTCTTTACTGTCATTACACAGCAAGTACACAATGATATTACAGTGCTTGCCTGGCT